CCGGGCGCGTCGCTTTACCATACCCGATGACGAGTACATCGTTCACTGTTCCTGGATCTCGATATGAAGGGTCTCTAACCTCGATTACAATCTCATGCATCCGTGCCCTTCTTCCTTTTTCTCACCGGGAAATCGGGGTAGACATTACCTCTGATTTTACCCGTACATAGATAGTCCCCTCATTTTCCGGAGAGTAGGTTTACCGAAACGATGGAACGCGATAAATGAATCCCAGTTCCTTCCTGTGTACGTTACAAACGAGATGACGGGTAAATCGAAACGTCCCATTAGTCTCGTCGTTCTGACTTTGGACACATGTCCATCACCGGTTGACTGTCCTCGAATGCGAACTTCACGCACTGATTGTTTTCCCTCTATAGAAGCTTTGACCCTTTTTCACTTCTTCCACTATCCGATTCTAGAATTTACCCTCGAACACTCTAATTGCTTTTAACTCCTTCAAATCTTCATACATTGCTCCTTGAACCTTCATATCTTAATCTTCAATCCTTATACATTTTCTTTGAATCTTCATTCATACCATATTTAAAAATTCATATTTTTCTTCAAACCTTCAGATTTCCCAGATTACGATGGCGAAAACCTCCAAGTCAGTGCCTCAGAAGGCTGCTCCTCCATCTTCCCACCCGGCCACAGAAGTCGAGTTGGCCGTTCTCGAGGTGGCTCAGGATCCCCCCATGAAGAGCTTCGTACCTGGGGGCTGCTCTATCGGGAATGACTTCCACATCGAGAAGGCCTCTAGTCAACAAGACCGAGGCAAGGGGGCATGGATATACATATGAACCGTTACTGAGGAAACACTACCCATAGTCTGAGCGGACTAAAACTAGGAGGGTAAGGAAGTGGTTGTCCCCGGCCCAATGATGATGTCACTACTCACGCGGAGGGGTACTTATGTGTTTACACTTAATCCTTCACGCTCGCCCCGGTGGAACCCATAATCCTTGCCTTCTGCAAAAGGTACAAGCTGTGCCTTGGGAAAATCCACCCGTCCTTTTGGAGGATCATGATCCCCTTATGACATTTCGTGAATAATACTGAAGCCCCTTGGTTTACCCTCGACCATCTGCTTCGCCTATACAGTCCCTGAATCTTTTGGAAGGGGCTGATCAAGCTCGTCCATCGAGCAAGTAAAGCTCAATTCTCGAGCATCGACGAGGACCGAGATCGAGAATGGCAGGGAAGGTTCGTTCGGGTGAAAATCATAGACCTTATCCCCTCCGAGTTTCTGCCGCTCCTAGAGAAGTGGAACGCATCTCGTAAGTATTTTCCTTCTCGAGTACTTGTCATTTCCTTTTTTTTCTCTCATTGCTTATGTTTGTCGCCATGTAGCTGTTGCCCAAGTTCCCAATGTAGTTCGCTGCTTCAAGGAGTGGATCGAGGGGATATGCAAACAGATGCCATAATCGGAGTGCGCATGGCGCAAGCTCTCGAAAGGCAAATTGGAGGCCCCCATGGCAAGGCCCTTTTTTCGAATAGTTACTTTTGTACTTTTGGCTTACGCATTGCTAAGTCTCCTTTTTTCTTACAGGTTTGCCCAAGACCATCGAACTAAGACCGTTGGGTGAGGACGAGGATCCGTCCTTGCTTGCCGAACCCTCTGCTTCGGGACAACCCGAGGTTGCCGCAAAGGAGGAGAAGAAGAAGAAGAAAAGAAAGTCCTCGGATTCCCCGGATGCCGAGGCGAAGAAAAAAAAAGTGACCATCCGGGTCTGGAAAATAAAAAAGAGCGCCAAGTCTAGGGTACTGGACTCCGATTCCCTCTATTGGCTTATAGACGAGCCCGAGGAAGATGACCTTTTTATTTTTCATGGGTCGACCCTTAACGGGAAGGGGAGGGAGGGGGGGGGGGGGGCACGACCAGGAAAGAGGACCATGAGGTCGATCCCTCTCTAACTCGGAAACCAGAGGGAGAGACGGAGGATGCGGCCTCCCAAGAAGTCGCTCCTGTCCCGAAGGAGGCAACCAGTGTCATTGACATCGTGGAGACACCCTCCTATACCGAGTCCATGCTCGAGGAGGCTCAAGCAGGCAAAGAAAAATCGATCGAGATGGCGTAGGGCCCGAATGATGCCCTCAGCACGTTCTTTGATGGCATGGATATGGCTGCACTGAGGACTTTTTCGGGCTTGGTAACCTGGAGGTCCCAAAAAAGGATGTTCCATCGGGAGCAGGCGGGCCAAGTTCGATCCCAAAACTAGTGAAGCAGTTCCCTGCTCCGAGCGTGGACCCCAAGCGCAAGAGAACGGTCGTTCTCACAATCCCGGCGGACGCCCGGATCCTGTCTGCTTTGGTGGGTGTAGCCAGCTACCTTCGATACCCGATGACTGAGGAGGATCATGCAAAGATGAACGAAGTGGGCACGTCGAGCCTCTTCAACGAGGCGCAATAGGCGCTGAACCGGGTAAGGCGTTTACCCTTCGTACCCTTTTGTGAACCTTGTTTAGTTTTAGACTTGTTCTAATAACTTCATTGTTTTTCAGGCTTCAATGCTTCATCATGAAAGCTTTCTTCGGTCCCGCTGGGAGATCATCCAGCTCGGTTCGAGCTCAAAGAGCAAGTCTGGAAGAAGGACATGTACATGGATCTCAGTGAGCAACAAGACGAGGCCCTCAAGGACCTCCTGATTCTACAAGTTGAGCTGGAAAACGCTTAGAAGGAGGCTTTGTCCTTGAAGCACTGGCATGACGACCTGGTCGAGAAGGTAAGGATCTTTGAGGCTAAAAATGAGAAGCTAGTCGTGGTGACTAACAACACAACTTCGCAGGTCTAAGAGAAGATAGACCTGATCGACCAACTTATGAGGTCTAGGCCATGACCGAGGTGTGGAAGGGCAGGATGGATTTGCTGGCTTCAAGGAAGAAGCTGCAAAAATAGAGTTGGCATCGGCCGAGAGCCAACTCTAGGTGGCAAAGGACAAAACCGATAAATGGTCCTGGTTAAATGATTATCTCCGGGCACAATTGAGCTCGACTATCACAGAACGGGATGCCCTTGGACAAGAATATGCTGCACTGAGGTCCTAGTTGGATGCAACCTCTTCTGACGTCGAGGAAATGTTGGCCCAGTATTAGACTGATGTGGAGGTAGCCGAGGCCCGCTTAAAGACAAAGACCGAATACGTAAAGCGGCTAATCCGGAGAGAGATCCTCGAGGAGATCCATGCCCGAGGTTTTGACCAATCAGTCGAGATTGGGGTGACATGAAATTAAGAGGTCAAATAACAAACGTAAAATCGGGTGTGTTATCGAGGTTCGTATCAAATCACTACTATTATCTTTAGCCCCATGGTGGGTGCAAAACTGTGTACCCCAAAATCGGGTAAAAATTGAATTTGTATGTGGTTTTAAGGATATATGCGATTTAATTTAACACGAGCAATCAGAAATATCAAATAAATGAGTTAGGAGTGGAATAAACGTTCAAACCAGTTGCAATACTATGATAAAGCCTGAACTTAGGCCGATGAATGACCTCGTCCTCGATCAGAACCTCGGTTCAAGCCCGACCATGAATGAAGAACAGAACAAATGAGTGAAACTTAACAATAGCTAAAAGGAAGAAACTAAACTTGTATCGCTTTGATTCGTCAATTACAATATGTGTTACAAAAGAAAAACTTTCCCTCTATATAGTAGGAGAGTTTTACCCCTAGTATAAGTCTAAAAAAGGTAAAAAATCTTCCTTTCTCATTAATTAATGATCCATAACCGATATTGACCGAGATACACGCCATGATATCCGGTTGGGCGTGAATATCACGGCCCTCTATCCGTCGCGTGTAACCGTTCAACGTGTTTCCCGAGGTCTTAGAACTTATTCTTGGCCCGGGGCACGTCACTTTACCATACCCGATGACGAGCACATCATTCACTCTTCCTAGACCTCGATACGAAGGGTCTCTAACCTCGATTACAATCTCATGCATCCTTGCCCTTCTTCCGTTTTTTCACCGGGAAATCAGGGTAGACATTACTTTCGATTTTATCCGTACACAATATTGTTGGGTTTTGGATGTATTTAATTAATATATTAAATACTTAAAAGAGGGTGAATGGGAAATGGAGGGAAATAAAAAATTTTGAGTTTTAAGTTCCCCCCCTGGCAAATGGGCATTGTCCCATATTGGAAGAGGAAGAGGTTTTTTATGCGTATATAAGCAATTGCTCTTCTTCTAGCTCTTAAAGAGTTGAGAAGAAAGCAAGCCTCGCGCCGTCGTCGTCGTCTCTCGCTCGGCTCGGCTTCGGCTTCGGCTACGGCTTCGGCTTCGGCTTCGGCTACTGCTACGGCTACGGCTACGGCTTCGGCTTCGGCTTCGGCTTCGGATTCGGATTCGGCTTCGGCTTCGGATTCGGATTTGGATTTGGATTTGGTCAAATGATCGATTGATTGATTAACTTTTTGGACCAAATTTATTTGTTAATAGTAAAATATTAACAGAAATGTTATTAAATATTTGTTTTAATAACAGAATGTTAATATTAAATATTAATATTAAATCCAATCCGTTTTTCTGTTTTGGTAACAGAAAAGTAACTACCCTCTTTAATTTTTCCTCTTTATTTTTCCTCTTTATTGTTGAGTAAATGACCATTTATGTAATGGCATTTATGCTGTGGGCGTTTTGCATAAACAGCCATTCTTAAGAGTTGCACCTCTTCAGATTTCAGCCCAACTTTGGCTATAAATACAACACTATTCTGCTCAGAATTTCACTACGATTTTCTGAGTTTTGTCTCCTTCTTCTGCATACTTTTAGCATCAAACAAAGTAAAAAGTAAGTGTGATTTGCTACCGAACTTTGTGTTCGCTGAAACACTGGGGTTTGAAGTACCACTACACCAGTGTGTAATTCGTTCTATCCTGGGAGGAAATAATCCATAACCTTGGGTACTAGGAGGGGATTAAATTCCTTAAGGAAACACGGTGAATTCAGTGGGCTCGAATTGGTTTTATGTCATTTCTGTTTATGTTCATTTCTGTTTATATTCATTTATATTTCCAGAATTATTTTACAAATACAGTCTACTAACAGTTATTGATGGAGAAATACCTGTATGGAAATTTCATGTTGTTACTGATGCAGAAACTCCAAGGCAGAAGTTTCAATGCAAGTTTCCTCATATGATGTTATACTATTGATATGTTCTTTTGTTCATGAACTACTTTTTCCAAATATTTGACATGACTTTTTATGTAATTAGCAAATGCTACAGAAAAACCAGAGCCCAACATCATGTCATCACACAAGGTTTTCCCTGATGCAGAAGCGTCTAAGGACGTGCCTCTGGGTCGCCCTCATTTAATTTCTGCTGTCAAACCCCATTGGATTTCAAGGTCTTTGATGGTAAGTTGAAAACTAAATTCTACTCTCATTGTAAGATGAACACATTTCGCTATAAGGATTTTTTTTCGTTAATAATTCGAAAGTGTGAAGTAGAAATATGAACTATTACGTGCAACTGGTTATAAACTGTTCCAGCATGTTCCGAAACTATTTGCATGCAAAAACGGCCTCTGCAACAGGAAATGTACAATAGTGATAAGAGATGAGCAAAGGTCATGGGAATTTAGGCTGTATTCCTGTGGAGGCAGCACTTTCATTGGAGGGGGATGGCGTGAATTTTGCGCTGCTAATTTCTTAAAGGAAGGAGATCGCGTTATGTTTGAGATATTTGCCAAGGCAGAGAAACCTATACTGAAATTTTATGGCAAGTTTCACATCTTAGCCCTTCTGTTATATTTCATCCACTTTTCCACTATTTATCTATTTCTTTACTTCAACTTAGTGTTCTATTTTTGGATTTAAATTCATCATCAGTTTCAGTTTTGACTTTTTTCAATTTAAAAACTAGATTTGAGAGCAAATGCATCACTTCAGACCGAAGCAAAGAATCCTGATTTGGATGCTAATAGATATTCCACTCAAGGTCTGGTTTTTATGAACAAAGTCTTGTTTCTGTATCAAGGACCTTCATCTTTTCTTTGATTCTAATGCCTCTTTGGTTTCTTTTTTCATGTATTCTTTTGAAATGAAGAACAGGCCTCGGTATTGATACCTCAGGTATGCCTGCTACAAAAGCACGAATCCCTGCTTCAACATCTGCTAATGCTAACCCTCAATTTATTTCTACTATTAGACCTTATTCCATCAACAGAACATTTTTGGTAAGTGATTTTAAGTTAACTTTAGTTGCCCTTAATAGTTAAGATCTTTAGTAGTAGTTTCGTGGCGAAATACATAGACAGCCCCATAAACTTGGCCATATTTTTTACTTCGGCACTTCAACTCAGCTCATGACCTATTGGCCACCTCAAAAATATGGCCAAGTTTAAGGGGCTGTCTATGTATTCTGCCTAGTTCTTTTTTTTGTTGTTGCTGTTGTGATAATGCCATATTGATCTATACATTGGGATAAAATTTGAGCAGTATCTTCCATTGGATTTTGCAAAATCAAATGGCTTGATGAATAGACGTTGTGAGATGATTCTCACAGATGAGAAACAGCGATCATGGTCGGTGCAGCTCGGACCAACAGGACATCACGTTGCGATTACCAGGGGATGGACAAAATTCGTGAAAGCAAATGATGTCCAAGTAGGAGATACTTTTAAGTTTGAACTCATCAACAACGGAACAATACCTATAGCGCACTTCCATTGTGAGTATTTTGGTTACCTCACTTTGTTTTTATGATCTTCCTTCGTGTTATACATGCTTTTCTTTTTCTTCTTTGTCCCTCGGGCTATTAGAATAGACCTTTGTAGGCTGCATACAATAGACCTTTGTGGTCCGGTCCTTCCCCGGACCCCGTGCATAGCAGGAGCTTAGTGTATCGGACTGCCCTTTTATTATGTAGTGATTAAGTCTGCTAAATTTATATTCATAGCAAAGAGTTATGCTAAAAGAAATTTTGCAGGTAAATATTCAGAAAAGGATGGCAAGAATGAGAGAAGCATTTGACAAGGTAATGAAGCAGTTGGTGATGGGCAAGGGAAAAAAAGAGCACTGAAGATGTTTTTCTATCTAGTACATGTTGCCAAATCTCAAGAAAATTAATGTACTTTGATTTTTTGTGTTTTCAAAAGCAAAACTTGCTTTTGTATGCTGTTAGCATTACTAATACTAAAGATTAAGTCCCCCTTTTTTGTTTATATCATGACACCAGAAGATTGAGATTTGAGAAGTGATTATGGTGTATCCATGTGTGAACCAAAAAGCAAGGATTTCTTGGACCTGGTTGGACAAGGGTATATTTTTTTACCTTGTTAAGATGTGAATCTAAAAGGGCAGTCCGGTGCACTAAGCTCTCGCTATGCGCGGGGTCCGGGGAACGATCGGACCACAAGGGTCTATTGTACACAACCTTACCTTGCATTTCTGTAAGAAGCTATTTTCACAACTCAAAACCATGACCTCCTAATCACATGTAGCTTGGATAAATATTTTAATATCGGACTATATTTCATGAACCAAATAGATTTTTAGGAACCTGGGTATATTGTATTATGCATAAAGTAAATTTCCCACCAAATAGTTGTGGTTGGTTAAAAATAAAAAACATTTTCTTTTGTTGAAAATACGAACATTTTTGTCATAGCAATACATGACATTAGCAATGTTATAATTTTTAATACATGGATAAGCATGCATAAAACTAGGACTACCTTTTCAAAATCTTTAATACATCAAACCAAATAGTCCATAAAAAATAATTTCAGCATAATTAATCATAATATTACTTATTCACCATATTCAACACTAATCTTATACACTACCGAATGGATCCTTTAGAATTAAAAAGTTACATAAGTATTTAATAAAGTGCTTTTGATTTTTAAAGTAGTACTACAGATTACAGTCTAGCATACAATTTTGAAAAACGGGAAGATTTCATTAATAAATGAGCTCCATTTTTTAACAGCTTTATGAAAAAAAAGTATTTCCTTATCCAGCTAACATTTGTTCAATTTCAATATAAATAAACCTACTCTGTTTCTTTCTTGAATCATAAATATTTACGTAGAATTGGTATTACAGATTCCGATCCCCTGACATGAAAATTAAAAGCCCGCTGTTTTTCATTCCTTTTGTAACTTTCGATATTTCCCCCCCTCAGTTCTTTCATTTATATCTAATGAAAAACAACCAAAGAAAAAGATATCTTTTCTCTTCAGTAATTACAGCAATGAAAATTCCTCCAAAGAATCCTCAGTTTTTCAAACCTATTCTGCCCGGGTTCAGAGATGGACTTGTAAGTTATACTTTAAATATTTTCATCTTTCTATTTTCTGGTATATGTATAATATTGACATATTCGGATTCATAATTTAAATTTGATAGGTTTGACTTTTAAATTCTTACTAGTAGAGGTAAGGTATTCTCCCCAGAACCCACTTGTGGGATTTTACTGGGTTGTTGTTGTTGTTGTTGTAGTACTAGTAAACTCTTTAGTTCTTATAAAATTATGAGTTCAAAATGTACTAATCTTTGTTGAAATGTTAGTAATTTTTGAGATATATGTTTACTTTACGTGTCAAAAATTAGTTTTAGGTGGAAACCTGAGAACTAAGCTGCATCCACTTACAGAAAAGAAACATACTAAAGATCAAAGCATAATATGCTAAATGAATATTCTTTTATTTGATTAATACATATTTGTTGTATATATCTACTGCAGAAAATTCCTACTGGTTTCTTGAAGTATTTAAAGGGACATGAACATATTGAACATGCAATAATAAGAAGGGCTGGTAAGAAGTGGCTGGTGAAGGTGAACGGCCGTCGATTCGAAGCTGGTTGGGCTGAATTTGCACAACAACATGATTTGCAGTTAGGAGATGTGTTGATTTTCAGACATGAAGGAAACATGGAGTTTAAGGTTACCATATTTGAATCAAGTGGAAGTGTCAAAGAATATTTGCAAGAAAAAGTCCACACTACTGTTGAAGAGACTTCCAAGAATCTTGAAGAATTTGAAGGTGAAGTTCTTTAGGTTCTCAACTTTCTTTCTTTTTTAAGATTTGATGGTTGATGCTTATTTAATACTGCCTCCATCCCATATTAGTTGTCAAGGTTGCTAAAAATGTTTGTTCCAAAATACTTGTTGATTTATAAAATCAAGATAGATTTAATCAATCTTTCTCCATTTTGCCCATAATATTAGTTGTCATGTTTAATTTCATGAAGATACAAATAACTACGCCTCAATCTCAAGTGGCGATCAACTACATGAATCCTCAATGTCCGTGTCGCGCCATTTAAGCCATTCAAGAAATACCAACAATGTAATAGAAATACCAAATACAAGAATCGAGTCGTCAGACCAGGATTGTTCACATGCGGAAGCTGCTACTGACAAGCATATTGATCATTCTCATTTTGTATGCACTATTAAACCATATTGCCTAACATATGGTTACTTGGTAAGTCTTAGAACTCATTAATTTCACCTAAACTCTTCAAGAATCTTCAGGCTAAAGGAAGTATGTGTACTATTTTGCTTATTTTTATCCTTGTTTAAGTGAAAATCTGAAGAATATGAAAAGTTTTAATGATGTGTTCAAATGGTAATACACTTTGTCAGTACCTTCCTCAACCGTTTGCAAATGGTCTCTCCAACAAGGAGTGCGAGTTGATTATAAGAGATGAAAGACAAAGGTTATGGAATTTAAAGCTAAGTTCTGATTGCAAAAATCGAGTCTGTATTGGAGATGGTTGGCGTAAATTCATTGCTGATAATCGGTTAAAGGAGGGAGATCGTATTGTGTTTGAAGTTGTTACTGATGAAGAGACATCTGTATGGAAATTTCATGTTGTTACTGATGCAGAAACTCCAAAGCATAAGTTATTTCAAGGCAAGTTTTCTCATATCGTGTTATACTATTGACAAGGGCATATGCACCTTATACCATATGGTGTCACTAGACACCGGTTGATCGAAACTTTTCACTACATATTTATAAGAAAAATGAAAATATTGGGGTAGGTATAGAAAATGACACTGCTTATCATTATAGTGATTTATTCATTTGTCCATTTCTTCAAATTATGACATTGCTTATGTAAAATCCTGCGTAAGCCACAGACTGTTGATATATTCTTTTGTTAATGAAGTACTTTTTCCAAATATTTGACATGACTTTTTATGTAATTAGCAAATGCTACAGAAAAACCAGAGCCCAACATCATGTCATCGCACAAGGTTGTCTTCGATGTAGAAGCGGCTAAGGACATGCCTCATTTCATTTCTACTGTCAAACCTCATCATATTTCAAAGTGTAGGATGGTAAGCTTAAAGCTAAATTCTACTTTCATTGTTACACTTAAGAAAAAAAAAAGGAAAAAAAAAAGATGAACTCATAAATATGAACAATTTACGCGCTACTGGTTATAAACTGTGTTTCAGCATGTTCCAAAACTATTTGCAAGAGAAAATGGCCTCAGCAACAGGCAATGTACGATAGTGATAAGAGATTATGAGCAAAGGTTATGGGAATTTAGGCTGTAATCCTCCTCTGCTGGCAGCACTTTCATTGGAGGGGAATGGCGTAAATTTTGCGCTGCTAATTTCTTAAAGGAAGGAGATTGCATAATGTTTGAGATATTTGCCAAGGGAGAGAAACCTATATTGAAATTTTATGGCAAGTTTCACATCTTAAAACCTTATGTTATACTTATTTCATCACTTTTACACCATTTATCTGCTTCTTTTACTTCAACTTAATGTTCTGTTTTTGGATTTAAATTCATCTACAGTTTCAGTTTTGACTTTTTTTCAATTTAAAAACTAGATTTGAGAGCAAATGCACCACTTCAGCCTGAAGAAAGGAAGCCTAATTCGGATGCTAAAAGAGTTTCCACTCAAGGTCAGGATAATAAGAACATACTAACCTTGATTCTTACTACAAGAAATTGGACTTTCAGTGGCGACCTTTACGACTTACTGTAGTTTCTGTGGTTACTTTAGTCGCAACAAAAAGTCTTATTTCTTGTAGCGTCAATATCCAACAGTGGCGAAACCAGAAATATTTCCAAGGGTGTTCAGACTTGAAAGAACTACAAAAAAAAGTTCTGACAAAGGTGAAGGGTGGTCAGTTGACCGCCCTTATACAAATATTTCGGTGAAGGGTGGTCAGTTGACCGCCCTTATACAAAGGTGGCTTCGCCCCTGGTATCCAATAACTTAGTCTTTTCTTTTCGTTTCTCTGACTCTAATCCTTGTCTATCGGAAACAACCTCTCTACCCTTCCAGAGGTAGGGGTAAAGGCTGCATACATCTTATCCTCCCCAGACCCCACTCGTGGGAAACTACTGGATTCGTTGTTGTTGACTCTAATCCTTCTTCTTCTTAGTTTTTTCTTTTCGTTTCTCTGACTCTAATCCTTCTTCTTTCTTTTCTTTTACATGTATATCTTTTAATGAAGGTCTCAGGAATGGATGAAATGATGGCGAAGCTCAATATACAATTGTGAACATGTCGTCACAGTTGATAGTTATTTGAGCCTCCTTTTGCTCGAAATGTACGTAGATTCTTAAGAAGTCTTCTAAGCCCTTCTGCTTCACAAGCTACTTCTCTTGTCGAGCTATATTGTGCTTCTGCTGAAGATAATGGCATTGTCTTTTGCTTCCTTGAAGACACTTTTCTACTTAAGAAATCCACTTAAAAGATTATATTGAACGTGAATTACGTGCAGTTATTCATAGATTATTATAATATTATATCTGGATTAATGTTACTCTCTTTAGTTTTTATCTCAGAAATAGTGGACTACTTATTTCTGATCGTTCATGTAGGGCTTAATTGCAGATTCATGTAAATAATTGTATTTTTTCTATATATCTCTCTCTTCATATGAATTTTGACTGGCAATTTGAAAGCCGACTCTACAACGTTGAAGAGGGATTGTATCAGAGATGTTAGCATCTACGGCTAGGGGTGTCCATAGGTGGGGTTGAGGGATTTGCATCTATACATGCTTTTTGGGTCACGTTTTAATTTATACCTGCTTTGCAAAAAAATTGCAAACGTACTCACTTTTCGCGTAACTTCAGGCATACGGGCCTGAAATAACAAAGGCAATCACGCAAACTTGTAGAAATGGCATGGGGTAGCCACTATTTAAAGTGGTATTTACTTTTTATCCAGCATTTTTAATGCTTAGCAATAGTAGCCACTAGGCTATTAAAATTAATATGAAAAGACTGTGTTACCCTTTCTTCTATCTCTTTCATGTGTTAGGGAGAACTGTGCCGCCATCTGTTGAGGTTTCAAATAGGTCTCCTGCTGTTAACTTTTCGTCATGAGCTTATTAATTACATAAACAAATTTTATGCTACTGCTAATTAACACAATTGCTGGGAATTATAAAGTACATTAGAAGATGGAAAAGACTGTTATATGGATCAAAAGGCTAATGTTTCAATATAATATTAATTGTAATCATACATTGTCGAAAAGAAGCTAACCAAGCTAGCTCATAATAAAATAAATCTGAGTTTGGAATTAGGATGATCTCTTGGAGGTACATATTTATGGAATTACTTTATAGCATCATTCTACCTTATTGAATATTGTACGTTATTATCCTTATTGTGTGTTTCCATTTAATTTATTTTGTGTTAAAATAAATTAAAAGTTAAGGACAATAGGTCTTGAACTTAGGCTAAGAAGCCCAAAAGTTAAAGACTGGCAGTCCTTAACTTACAGTTATAAGTTCAAAAGTTAAGGACAATAGGTCCTTAACTTTGATTTCTAAGTTCAAAAGTTAAGGACAGACAGTCCTTAACTTACAGTTACACGTTCAAAAGTTAAGGACAAGCAGTCCTTAACTTACAGTTACAAGTTCAAAAGTTAAGGACAATGTCCTTAACTTTGATTTCCAAGTCCAAAAGTTAAGGACAGACAGTCCTTAACTTACAGTTACACGTTCAAAAGTTAAGGACAAGCAGTACTTAACTTACAGTTACAAGTTCAAAAGTTAAGGACGCTTGATCTTGAAGTTTGAGTTCCAAGTTCAAAAGTTAAGGACATGTAGCCTTGAAGTCCTGAACTTAGAGTTCCAAGTTCAAAAGTTAAGGACATGTAGTCCTGAACTTAGAGTTACAGGTTTAAAAGTTAAGGACATGTAGTCTTGAAGTCCTGAACTTAGAGTTTCAAGTTCAAAAGTTAAGGACTTGTAGTCCTGAAGTCCTGAAGTTAAGGACATGAGCAGAAGGGTATTTTCGTCCGGGCAGTTAAAGTTTATTAAACCAATGGCTAAAGACTAAAGATATTTAAAACACTGGCTTTAAAATAAAGATAGGAGCTGTTAGTGGCTATTTGTGCACATCGCCCCGCAAACTTCAGCATTCTAGTAGACGGGCCTGAAGTAGTAAATTGCTGAACCAAGTGTTGGCTGAAGTTTTTGTTTGTAATTGCTGAACTTACGCATTCTAGTAGCTGAAGTTTTGTTCTCTATTTACTGAAGTTTTTGTTTGTAGTTGCTGAACTTAAGCATTCTAGTAGCTGAAGTTTTATTCTCTATTTGCTGAACTTCAGCGTGTTTTAGCTGAAGTTTTGTTCTATATTTACTGAACTTCAGCACGTTTTCGCTGCACAACCCATGCTCTCAAGATATTTCAACAATCTTACCATAAGTTGAATATGAGGACAAAATCGTGAAGTACTCTGAAAACTCATCACATGTTTGTGAGGATTTCCCCATAAAACCATAAGATATGAATGGACTTCATATGATTTCAAGTAATATAATCTAATATATAGTTAAAAACCACATTTAAATTCTAATCTATAGTTATATATAAACTTTCAAATTTGGACTGAAACTAAATCATCAAGCTCAGGTGAAGAGTGTAACCTATGAACTGAAGTTTCATAGCAGCACCAACAGCAAAAGAAAGAAAAAGAAGAAGAAGAAAACGAAGGAGGAGAAGGAAGAGGAGAAAGAGGGCTCAAGTTGTTTAAAAAGTGGGTGCAAGTTAAAACTTTTAAAAAAAAATTGGTATAGGTTAAATGGAGGCAACCAAAGAGGGCGCCCCGTGCAATTTTTACGGTGGGGTTGGTTTCGGATTTTCTAATTACCAAACCAAACCAATTGTACCAGTTATTAAATCTAAATACCAAACCAAATCAATGAAAGTCGGATTTTTTAATCTCGATTTTTCTCGGATTTTCGATTTTTTTTTATAAAGTCTCCATAGCACAAAACGTAACATTTGTGCTCCAAATATTTCTTTAATCCTAGTAAGACAGAACTATATAAGGTGTTTTTCAATAAAATAACATAAATATGAGATGAGTCATGGCATTGTAGTAAAATATTCAACAATAAAGATAATAAAATTGCATAAAATAAATATTATTAATAAGCCATAATGAAAACAAACATAATTTAAAGTTATAGCTAATAAGTACTATTATTTACATGACTAAACACTAAAAGAAAAATAAGTTATACATTTTATCTAAACCAAGGAAAAACTAAAAAGTAAATATCCAACACTATTTTCATTCATAGTACAATTGAATTGAATATTTTATTAGCATTAGTATTGATCTGATTTTGATTTAGGATTTATTTGAGTTAATAACCTTTATGGACTATAAAACTTATTGGAGCATCCAAAAATTATAAGCCCAAGCTTAAATAATACGTTAAAAGACTATGAAAAAGCTTAAGAAATACTTATAAACTACACCACAATAAATGTATTACATATATTTCAAACTTCTATACATATAATGTCGGGTTGGTTTGGTTTCAGTTTGACTCTTTTTAGTTAAAACCAAACCAAACCAATATGGTCGGATTTTTTTTCCAACACCAAACCAAATCAAACCAAACAATAGTTGATTTTTTTTCTCGGTTTGACTCGGATTATCGGGTTGGTACGGTTTCATTTGTACACCCCTATTTACGGCCTTGGCGCATAGGCAGAAGCGGAGCCTCAGTATCGGCTACGGGTTCGGCTGAACCCAGTAGCTTTAGTTCCAATCATGTATTCGTCTTATAATTTTCATTAAATATGTAAAAGTTATTAATTTAGAACCTGATAACTTTAAAAAGATTAGGAACCCGAACCCATAAGCTTATAAACCTGGCTCCGCCTTTGCGCGTAGGGCAATGGAGGCTGAATTGATCGGCAATTAGGGAGATACATTACTACAACTTTAACGAGAGACTCGCATAAATCTTTTTAATGAAGCAATAGCATCTAGAATGAGGAAGATAGAAACCTTTTCATTTTTATTGTCATTCACATTATTGCTTACAATTAACATGCGATAAACATATAAACCAACACCAAGTACACTACATAATTCAGTACAACCACATTTGTCAACTACATTATGAGTGAAGCTAAATGATAATGTAGTAAAAATATTTAATATTTTACAAATATATTAAATATATATACTGGATATATGCACACGTATTTTATTAGAAAAGACATTTATGGTATATTCTAGTACAAATATTTTATATCTTACACATACCATGAATATACCAATAATTGTATACTAATCAACATAATTTAAAATTGTTGGAATTTAACATATATATCTTACACATAATTTGCAAGTATGATACATGTAATAATACTGGAATAATTTTGTCACTTTTTTGTATGTTTTACGGTGAAAATTGCTTTGAGTATATATTTTATCAGTCTTGATTATACCCTGCGTATACATTTTATACATATTTAAATTGGAATAAATATAATTTAAAACACGTAGGAGTATTATATAAGGTAAACATACCGAATCCTAGATCCTAGGTTATAAAAAATACACTATATATATTTAGGGTATATATGCTCAAATCATAAATATACATCAAATAAATAACTTGATACACTATAAAAATACATAAGATAGACATCAAATATATTTTAGTACACAATAAAAATACATAAGATATTGGTCAGTTGTGCATCAATATCAAAAAATTCCCAACTCCATGAGACTTTCAAATGCCTTGTTTTAAAAAAGGAATAATAAAGAAACCTTCACATGATCCCTACAATTTTGAGAAAAAGAACGAAAAGGGAGGAACTTTTGGGTTCGTAATCGAAGAGAGATTAGTGGATAAATAATCTCTACAGTTTTGAGATTTTGGTTGAATATGGGAGATTTTTAAGCTCTAACAGATGATCCCTTATGTAATGACCCGACCGCTCGTTTCGAGAGTTGTAGCCTCGTTCCCCCATTTTCTGTTCCTTTTTTGTTCTGCAACTGTGTTATGATTTATTGGGTTAGTTGGTTCGGATCCGGAGTGATTTCAAAATGAATTGAGACACTTAGTCTCCTAGTTGAAAGCTTAAGTTGGAAAAATTGACCGGATGTTGACTTATGTGTAAACGATCTCGAATTTAAATTATGATGGTTCTGTTAGCTCCTTTAGGTGATTTTGGACTTAGGAGCGCGTCCAGATTGTAATTTGGAGGTTCGTAGTGGAATTAGGCTTGAATTGGAGAAAGTTGAAATTTTGGAAAGCTTGATCGGGAGTGGACTTTTTGATATCGGGGTCGGATTGGATTTCCGGAAGTTGGAGTAGGTTGGTGGTATCATTTATGACTTGTGTGCAAAATTTGAGGTCAATCGGACGTGATTTGATAGGTTTCGACGTCGTTTGTAGAATTTGGAAATTTCGAGGTTCATTAGGCTTGAATCCG